AAAATGACCTCACTGATCAACTTTATAAGAATAGCTTACATGCATCAGCCAGCACAGAAGAATGAATCTATATAAGTAGGGATACCAATACCATTTTTTTTCTGTATCGAGTAAGAGTACAGAGATTTATATGTCTGTACTCGCCGATACCGAGTATCGATATCAGTACTTCTGGTAGCATAGAGTCGGCTTCCTGGGCAATCAGGAAGCCAGGTGGCAAGCCATTACCTACCGCCTGCAGGTACCTCATTCCCCTAACATAGATCCTTAGCAGCAGTCATTGCTGTACCAGTCCCCCGGCCAGCTGAGCAGACACCGCTCTCCCGGATCTGCCCACATCTCCTGTGTGTACAGCGCCCACGTGATTGGCCCTCAGGCCGCTACTGCGCATGTGCAGACTGCCCAGCACTCTCATTCAGAAATCCTGTGAGGGCCGATCACGCGGGCGCTGTGCACACAGGAGCCGTGAGCAGATCCCGGAGAGCTTGGAGAGTGATGTCTGCCCAGCTGGCCAAGGGACTGGTACGGTAATGACTGCTGCTAAGGATCTATGTAAGGGGAATGATTTGTCTGCAGAGTGGGGATCGTGCCGCCATATTATCAGATTTGTTTGCCCGGCTTGACACTGGCTGGGAAGCCGGCTTTCCGGCCAATCAGCATCAAGCCTGCCAAACACCACGGAGCCACCTCCCCGCCTCTATGTTCCCTCAGGGCACAGCCGGTCAGAGGAAATGTCCCTCTGACCGGAAGTTCCTGTATCGGGAAAGGTATCGGAGCATTTTGGGTGAGTACTCGTACTTGCCCAAATACTCGGTTTCTGCACTGATATTGATACTAGTATCAATATAGCTTACATGCATCAGAATAGCTTACATGCATCAGCCAGCACAGAAGAATTAATCTATATAAGTAGGGATACCAATACCATTCCTTCCTACCTCCCCCCTACCCTGACCCTACTCCCTCCTACCTTCCCCCAGACCTCTAAATACTAAACATTCCATTTGGAACCTATTCAGTATTAAACCAGCAATAGGAGAAGAACTGCCTATTGTTCCATAAATGCCAGTGTTCCATGCCTGCTTTCTCATATCTCCACAACATCACCATACCTTGTCCACAAAGTATCTGTCTAGTTTGAAGTTTGTTGACCAATCATCCAGCTTGTCCCAGGATAGATAGATAGATAAAATGGGTATTTCTTAATTTGTTGCTGTTTTTACTACTATATTTGTTATTTACCAATTTCTTTGTTTATACCTAAATGTTTTTCTTTTATAAAATTCTTAATAAAATTATTTGTAAGAAAAAATAATGTTACCAGTAACAAGTGGTATTTTCTTTTGTATTACACATCCCAATATAGAAGTGGGCTATAACAACATTGTGTGAACACTATAAAAGTAAAAAATCTTCACCTCCAGTAGCTACAATTTCTAAAAATATAACAAATGTTTTCTTTGATATACATATCGTTTATACACTACTGATATTTATTTTTCCTTTTAAAGGCAATCCTCATAGCAGCAACTTAAGCAGTAGACTTACCCATGATACAATTGAACATGTTCGTTACAGGTAAGATCATTTAGAGAAAATACTATTTTTTATTCTGAGATGTGCTCAGAAAAAATCTAAGAAAAGTTTGTTAATGACAGCACAAAAAAAAACCTGTACTTTGTTGATTGGCTCTATTTTTTAGTACATCATTATGGTAGCCGGCAGTTATACACCAATAGTATTTTCAGAGGCTTAATTTGAACTGTCACATGGACAAGAAAAAAACATTTGATGAGGTCTAGTAAAGGGACAGTCCATCTAAAATTGATCACTTATTTGGTTTGAGTAGCAATCATCATAGCAACAACTTAAGCAGTAGACTTACCCATGATGCAATTGAACATGTTTATTACAGGTAAGATCTTTTAGACAAAATACTACTTTTTGTTCTCAGATGTGCTCAGAAATGTCCAAGGATGCTAGTTATGTTAATGACAGTGCAAAAAAACTTGTTTTGTGGCTTGGCTTCAATTTTTTACTACATTATAATGGTAGACTACAGTTATGCACCAATAATATTTTCAGAGGCTTAAATTTAAGTGTCATGCGGACAAGAAAAAACATGATGTGGTCTAGTAAAGGGACAGTCCATCTAAAATTGATACAATTTGGTTTGAGTAGATGCCTGCAGGTTGAGTAACCCGCATGCTTATTATATCCCTGGAGGACTCCACTATTGACATTTCCAAATTTTAGTTCTCAGATTCAGCCAGTTTCCTTGATCTTACTCTTCCTCTTGGCACAGAGCTAGGAAATCCACTGGCAAGATCACAGTCTCTGGTGCAAAGTCATAGTCAGTGGTCATTCAGTCACCATTATGCCCCTATAACTGAATTATTCATTTTGGATTAGCCTTTAAGAAGATTCTAAATATTTGGCTGTGTTTCTCATTTATTACTGATGACAAATTTTAAAATAATTGTGCAATTAGACATATTTACTTTTTTTTTAAAGGAAGTGTTTATTTAATTATTTTAAATAAATTCCACAGTGCTTCACAACAAATATCCACATTGTTTTCATAGAAAAGGGCACATGGGAGCTCAGAACATGCATGAAAATTACTATTTAGGCGTTGCTCCTCTGGAGCAGTCAGGCATGGAGAAAGATCTGTGGGGTCCTTATAGACCACAGACTCAACAATAGCATGCAAAGCCAAGCTGCATCTAGCAAAGCAAGGAAGATACTGTCCTGCATTAAAAGAGGGAGCATGCATGTCTGGTGCACGGATGAAGCCGCGGTGACAGGTTCATCTATGGTCCTGGGTGGTGGAGGAACGGCAACTGGGTCCAGTGTAGAGGTGTCTTGGAAAGGCAGCTTGAAACCAGGTTTGGAGAAGAAGGATCCATCTCTCTGGGAGAGCTGAGACTGGGGCTTGGTCGATCAGCAGCTGCAGAGAAGCCAGTCATTCAAAAAGTTCACCTGCCTACCAAAGAGCAGCACGCCACCATCCCCTCATTTAGAACATACAAAACTTCCCCACCAAAAAAACACTCATCAGAGTGCCCTCAATACACATTCATTTTTTTCCCCCATGGACAAGAGGTAGTTTAATCTTAGACTGTGCGTCTTTCGCAGACAGTGGTATCAGCTTATGGCATTGATAAATTCAGGAAACTCCTAGATGAGTTTTTCAGTTCACAGAAAATACAGGGATATGGGAACTATTAGAGACATGTATGTGCTGTATATACAGCATGTATTTATGTGTGTATGTATATGTATGTGTATATATATACATATATATATGTATGTATATGTATGTATATATATATATATATAATGCCGCTAGGGATGTCAGAAATGGAGAAGGATTTGGGGGTCATTGTAGACCACAAACTGAAAGGTAGCTTGCAGTGCCAGGCTGCTGTAAACAAAGCTAGCAGGGTTTTGTCCTGCATCAAAAAGGGTATCTATTGCAGGGACAAGTCTATAATTTTGCCACTCTATAGATCATTGGTTCGACCTCATCTGGAGTACGCGGTCCAGTTCTGGTCACCAGTACTAAGAAAAGATGTCCTTGAGTTGGAAAAGGTCCAGCGGAGGGCAACCAAACTAATTAGGGGTATGGAGGACCAGAGCTACGAGACGAGAGCTACGGGCGGCCCCTTCTTCGGGACACAGAAGCCATCTGGCGACAGGTAAGTCGCCAGAATCGCTTCTGTTGTAAAGCCGACAGTCGGCTCTACAAGTTTAAACAGCCCCGATGCTGGCGACGTACACTGTACATCGTCAGTCACGAAGGGGTTAAAATTCCCTTTTGAGAACTTTAATTTTGAGGTTTTGGATGGAGTGATCTTTCTAGGAGAAGTGATGTCCTCCTGGGGTGCAATATTCTTTTTCGTTGTGGTTACTGATTGAGCTCCTGTGAAGGTTCATCCTGAGATGTAGCTTTAGGCCAGTTTCCCCAATGTAACAACGTTTGTTTTGCTTTTTTTTTTTACCTCTTGTCTACTGGAGTAATACGGCTTACCCATTTTGCTGAAGTACCTTGAACTAATAATATTTAATAAATATTAAAAGTATGCATGTTTTGGAAGAAATTGTTTAGGATCTTGCTTTTGCAAGCTATACAGGTGAAACTCGAATAATTAGAATATCGTGCAAAAGTAATTGCAGTCAGTGCTGCAAAAGGGGCCCAACCCAAGGACTGAGTACATATGCATGCTTGTACTTTTCAGAGGTCCGATATTGTTCTATGTACAATCCTTATTTTATTGATTGCATGTAATAATCTACTTTTTTGAGGTTGTGGATTTGGGGTTCTTGGGGTTTTCATGAGCTGTAAGCCATAATCATCACAATTATGACAAATCACGGCTTGAATTATCTTGCTTTGCATGTAATGAGTCTATCTCATATATTAGTTTCACCTTTTAAGTTGCATTAGTGAAATAAATGAACTTTGCCCGATATTCGAATTATTCGAGTTTCACCTGTATAAACACCCTGATTATAATATCATCAATCACTTTAACAGTGATCTCCGTAGAGATCAGTTATTTCTGCAGTAATCTTGATGCAGTATATTGAATGTTGATGTGCTTAGTCTATTTTAATATTCATTTTGAATATTCATTGTTTTTATTTCTTGTAATTGTACTTTTACTATCATACTCTATTCATGATTTTTTTACATTTCTGTGCATATTTCTCCTTTACCACTAATTAAATGAAAAGCTTTAAAGCATAGGGTTTTATGTATGAGAGCTGAAATTATGAATAACTACTGAGTATCGTGTGCAATAGAAACAGTGGAGAGAATCAACATGTGTTTAAAAACTGGATAAAACAAGTAAGCAATTGTCCAATTAGTGCTAGAATGTGATTTAAATGAATGTGCTTGACCACACTTGTTTTGCTATTTAGACTCTGTAGTAATAAGACCTAATGTTTGAATGAATCACAATAGTTTCACTAGAGCAGACATGCTGCCTACTACTAATTTCTAATAATGGTAATAATAATAATATTGTCCTGCGGGATAAGCTAAAAGTCAGTATGAATTAAAAATACTTAATTGGCATCAAATAGGTTCATGTAATACATATTAAGGTACATTGCAGTCATGTAATAATGGCATCTGATAATTCTATGTGCTCTCTGTAAGCAATCATATCAGTGTCCCACAGTGATACGTTTTCAAAACAATATATTTAAACACTTCATAGTCAGTAAACATTGAACAGTAATACAAGTAGCATTTTTGTTGTCAGTAATCCTTCAATAGTTTCCTAGGAACCATCCTAATGTTGCCTGCATAGGCATGTGTCACATACTTTGTTGTGTCACTATCAGTATATAATAATGGTATGTAAAACAAAGAATCTAATTATTAATCATGGGATGCTATGTGAATGTCAATGTGAGATTTCATCAACTTATCAAATTTTCAAAACCGAAATGAAACTGAAAATGTAAAAAAGTCAGGCCGGAACTGAAAAAAAATGTCTAACATTTTCAAATGTTTAAAAATATTTTATTTATTTGTTATTAAATATTTGTTTTGCTTTACTGTTGGAGGCTTCAGGAAAATAATTAGAGGTCTAAACAGATCCTTGATATTTCCCATTTAAAATAGAAAAATAGATTGAGTCCTCAATCTTTTTCTGCAGCCCCTGTTATAAATGAACAGGAAGCCTATACTGAGTGTTCCTGTTCATTTATAACTTGTCGAAATAGAATGTTTACCATGTCCACAATCATGAATGAACAGGAAGTGATGTAGATCACTTCCCACTCATTCATGATTGGGAACACAGTAAACCTATGTCCTCAATTATTTACAAACACTCGTCGATCACTGATAGCTGAGTGCTTTTACCGCTCTCCATCCTGACTCACTGTTCTCTCACAGCTGACTCCTCCCAGCAATCTCAGTCTAGCCTCCTGTGATAGCTGACAGCTGTCTCCACCCACACACAACCGCTCTCCCGATCTGTCGCAGGAGGCTTAGCAGAGCGGTGCGGGAGGAGAGCTCAGCCTCCTGTGGCAGCTCTGACAGCTGTCTCCGCCCCTACACCGCTCTCCTAATCTGTCACAGGAGGCTGAACGGTGAGGGAGCAGAGACTCTGGCCACTCACATTGCTCTCCTATCCCGCACTACTTGGCCTCCTGTGACAGTTTCTCTCCTCCCTGCTGGGACCCAGAGCAGCGCCCAGCGGGGATGAGAAAAACCAAGGACGCAGTGCAATTTCAGCCAAAAGATGGCACTTTCAGCATTTTGCCAAAAGGGACATGTTCGGGCGATTATGTTTCGGCGGACAAAATTTCGGTGCATCCCTAATTATAACTGATATATTCAAGTAATCTTTTCCCAGTGCCTTAGTACAAGTACATGAAATGTAGCAGACAAAATGCTGATAAGTTGTAAAAGTTATAATGGAATGTATTACAAGTTATAAAAATACAAATTTGCAAAAGAAATGTTTATTTAAAAATGTGTTCTATAAAAATACTAGAGCCAAGGTCACATTAAAATAACATTTTAAAAACAAATGCATTAACTATACTCCCAA